TGGCTGTGGTTCCTTTTGGCTTTGGTCCCCCCAGAAATCCAGACAAAGCTAGAAGGCAGACATCTGCTTGATGGGATCCCTCTCCCCTCCCCTTTGAAAACGCTGCACCCCCAGCTGTCCCACGGAGCCCCACGGGAGGAAAGGCAAGCCAGAGAGGCCTCCTTGGGATCTCCAACAGCCACTGCTGGTTTGTCCAGCGGCCACAGCTCAAAGACCTGGATCGGGTTACTTTTCTTTTCCCCGCCCGCCCATTTCTCCCTTTTGCAATGTGTAAACCGTGGGAGTCCCCAAGTCAGCCGGCAGAGAAGCTAAAAGGAATATACATCGAAAAGATAAACCAAAATAGTTGTCACTGAACAAACATAATCTCTCTTGAATGGTTCTATTTTTAAAACTTGCTGTTAACTGCAGCCTGAGCATGCAAATGGAGCCAGAATTAGTTAAGGTGTTGGACTAAGAGGGGCCCAGGTTCTAGTCTACCTTCAACCATGGAAGCTCCCCAAAGGGACTCTGAACCAGCATTCCTCTCATTCAGCCCAATCTGCCTCACAAGGTTGTTTTGGGGAAGAATTGGAGGAGGGAGCATTATACATGCTACCTTGAGCTCCTGAAGGAAAGGCAGGACATAACCCTAACAAATAAACGAACAGAAACTCTGGTTCTCTGTTTGCTTTGCTTGGAAACCCTGCATCTGATTTTATAAAAAAAAAAAATCTGAATAATTCAACAGCTTGATTTCCCAAGTTTGAGTAATTAAATACAAAACTGCCCCCCCCCCCCCCGCCGCATACCTACAGTCTATGCCAGTCTCATACCAAGATTGGTATACATGTCTATGGATAATTCACACTTCTGAAGCCACCCAACTTCTCAACAGCTCTGGGTAGTGTACAAATTGAGAACTAAAGAAATTAGAACGATGTGAAATCAGAGAAATCCCAGAGGCATGAAAGCTTCCCAAAGGAACCCTACATTCACCCTAAGCCTGGAGAAAGAGCTGGGTATATAAGGCTCCTTGAAAGGAGAGCAGGGTTGAGGCTATTTGAACCTCTAGGGCAGTGTTTCTCAACCTCAGCAACTTAAGACGTGTGGACCTCAACTCCCAGAATTCCCCAGCCATGCTGGGGAATTCTGGGAGTTAAAGTCCACATGTCTTAAGTTGCTGAGGCTGAGAAAAACCGTTCTAGGGGAAGCTGTTGAAAAGTACTGAGTCATCAGGGACGTGCTGTCCTGCATTGAAGGTGAGCATGTGTGCAATGGCCACACTGGATGTATGCAGTTATATCCCAAAGGGTGACTGCCAGGTGCCCCATGCGCAGATACTCAATCTCTAAGATCTGTATCACAACAGACCAAGCTGGAGTGTGGTGGGGAAGGTGCTGGACTAGGAGTGGGGAGACCCAGGTGCTAGTCCTCCCTCAGCCACAGAGGTTCCCTGGGGGACTCAGAGCCAGTCCCTCCCTCTCAGCCTCAGAGTCAGTGAGGGGTGATGGGGAAGGTGCTGGACTAGGAGTGGAGAGATGTAAGTTCTAGTGCTCCTCATAAATGAAGCCAAGGACGCTGGCAGGAAAGGGAGGAAAAAGGCGGCGCTGGAAAGATTGGGGGAGGTGGGCTGGATGGATGTGCCATGTCTGAAGTCAAGGACCTTGGCAACTGAAGGGAGGTGAGGGCCCTGGGAAGGTCAGCAGGCAAGCCAGCCCCCATGGGGGAGAGGAGCAAGGGGCACTGGCCTTGCTCTTGCCCTGTAAGTCCCCTGTGCATTTGGTTCCAGCCCAAACCCAGAACCACCACCACAAAAAATGTTCACAGCTTCAGTTCTGCTGAACTGCAGCCTACTCAACAGGGTTTCGCTGAACTACTGGAAAACAATGTGTTTGTTTTGGGTTCGAAACACAGGTTTTCTTTTGTGCCTACCCCTACCTTTTAGCCTTGCATGCTGGCACTGCTGAGCAAAAAGGACCAATGAGCTGAGTCGTTGGGAGGCAGAGATTCCTGTGAGAGCTTCAGAAGGCTCAGGTTCCCAGGTTAAGACCCCAGCCCCTAAGATGATCTATCAGGCCACAGAGCACAAAAGCAGCTACTTTTATACTCCACCTCTTACCTTCAGCCAGTGAGGCAAATGCATTGATGAGCCTGGCTGTATACTGACGAACGACCTCGCTCTTGGACTGTATCAGCATTAAGACACTTCTCTGCAAGAGACCCCAAAAACTGAAACCGTTGCAGTTAATCCTGGAACACTGACGTGAAGTAACAGCTACAGTTATACATATCTGAGTGGCTGACCTACTTAACCTGGTTACTGAATTAACCCATTTTATCGGAGTCAAGCTCTTGGTAAGAGCAAAACCAGATTCTCACAAAGACTTCTCAGCTCAGATTTCTTGAAAGAGAAAAGGAATTATGTTTCAGAAATGTCAATGACATTTTTAGAAACAGATTCAACTCTGAGTTGCTCTGACAGCACTTTCTTGCTAACCGTGTTCCCTAGACAGGAGCTGGCTGCCCGTTTCCTTGAGAATGGAGAAAAGGGCAGATGTTTAGAATTTCTTAAGTTGCTGAGGTTGAGAAAACCATTCTAGGGGGAGGCTGTTGAAAAGTACTGAGTCTTCAAGGAAGTGCTCTCCTGCATCGATGTTTAGACCCTGCGGTGTTTTCCAAGGGACTCTCCTCTTTCCCAGGTTCTGAAAAGATTGAACTCTGGATTCACATATAATACATTAAACAAACCAAAACACTGATCGGGCTGGAATCATGTAATAGGCTAAGCCAGTGTTTCTCAACCTTGGCCGCTTTCAGATGGGTGGACTTCAACTCTCAGAATTCCCCAGCCAGCATGGCTGGCTGGGGAATTCTGGGAGTTGAAGTCCACCCATCTGAAAGCGGCCAAGGTTGAGAAACACTGGGCTAAGGCATTAAAAAAAAAAAAAAGGAAGGTTAAAACTTGGACACTTGGTGTGCTGGATAAACGCAACCTCTGTATCAGTCCTTTAAGGCAGGTCAGGTCAAGAAAACAGACACAGAAGGGATCCCAGGAATGCTATTTTGTTTTTGTAAGGTATAACAACAGAACATTGAAAGCCTGTGCAAGTTTCTCTGTGTCCCATCTTATACCAAAGAAAATCAAGGCAGGGTTGTTCTGCGTTTCTTTATCACACTTCCTTCTATCTCTGGACTGCGTAATCATCTCTCATTCAAATTCCTCTTTAACCGCTTTTTCCTATCTTCCCATCTTTAAATTCCTTTACACCCCAAGTAATTACCTCACCTGGTTCAACGTGCAATGTGGACAACGCCTTTGAGAATGTGACCTATGGGCTGGTGGAAGAAGGGGAACAGCACTCTGAATGTGAGGTTATTGAGCAAACTATCCCAATGATCTCCTATTCCTTAATTGGCTGAGTTTTCTTTCGCTCTGTGTATTGTTGTTGCTTCAGTTGCTTTCTAGGGCATGGAGAAGGAGAAAAGAGCCCACCTTCTTAGGTGAGGATGGCAGATTTGACTGGCAGTGACAACTGTGGCAAAGCACGTGGCACTGGGGGGGGAGGGAACAGAAAAGGAAGGAGCACATGTATCATGGCATGTAAGTAGGTAGAAGAAGAAAGAAGTAGGTCTGTGGGTCAAGAAGACACACTTGTGTTGCATTAGCCTGCTAGTCACAACCACCACCAACAGTGGCCCAGATAAGCATGCCTCCTTCACCAAGGTATTTTAGTGCCAGTTGCATTCACTGAATCTTAGTACGATCCCAGATGGCCCGCTCACTGTGCAGCTAGCCTAGCCAAGCTGATAAAACAACTCAGCTCCAAAAACACAGGTGGGAAAAGGCAACCCACTTCAGACTTCCGGGGAAGAAATGGCGAACTGAAGACGGCTCTGCTGAGAGCAGAGCCAACAACTGCAGTGGAATGAAGAGCCGGCGAAGGGACCAGCTGTTCGAGATTCCTCTCCAGACAAGGAGAGGACTTGAGATCACCCACAAGTGCTCCAGATAGTTGCTCCTCGCAAGGAGATCGCAAGACAGCAATCTCTAGCAGGTTTAGAGCTCTGGGAGACGAGGGAACGCCATCTTTGCCCAAACCGTGGTTGGCACCCTTAAGGTCACAGAATTTGCATACTTCCTTTTCTAATCACTTTTGGAAATTGCTTATTAATTGCTTTTCAGCTATTAGAAACCTTTGGAACAAGAAGTTTTACAACATCGGGTGTGTTTCCTTTGATCCTTCACAAAATAAATTTTAAATAAAGGTTTAAAGACTTTTAAAAAATTCTGATTTTGGAAAAAATAGCAAAAGGGTGATTAGAACATTGATTTTGGAAAGTTACAAATGGATTAAAGGTTCAGATGGATTTGAAATAAGATTTTGAAATTAATTATAAGAATCCTCCCTGTGGAAAAATGCTGTTGTTTTGAATTCTTAAAAAAAATGATAGGATGGGACTTTGAAGGTTAGACACTAGAGGGAAACAGAAGGAACTAAAGATTACAATTAAAGAACACTTAAATTTGACTTCCTAATACAGAATGGAGTAAAATACATTAACATTGGACGTATTGAGGGATATTTGTGAACAATGGACCCAGAAGTTAATTTTTAATGTGTCTGCCATTATAGATAGACTGTGTTTAAAAGATGTTATGGAAGAGGAACAAGTTTTACCGAACAAGACTGAGACTGATCTGAAAGTGGATTTAA